TTACAGTAAATGTTTACTATAATTATCTAACAAATGTTAATATTAATGTTAATTTTATTTATATACTGCCCTTCTCCTGAAGGACTCGGGGCGGTGTACAGCCAATTTAAAAACATAAATATACAGACATCATCATTAAAAAGTAATTAAAATCAATTAAACAGTTTCGGCCAAAATTTAAAACCCCAAGTTAAAACTCCAATTTAAAAACCACTTAAATAGACAGCCCCGCCTGTCAGAACAGTAGGGTCTTGAGGGCACAGCGAAAAACCCAGAGGTCAGAGATTGTACGTATTTCCGGGGGCAGTTTGTTCCAAAGGGCAGGAGCTCCTACTGAGAAGGCTCTCCTCCTGGGTGTCACCAGCCGCCATAATTTGGCCGACGGCACCCTGAGGAGTCCCTCTCTGTGGGAGCAAACTGGTTGGTGGGAGGCTATCGGTGGCAGAAGGCAGTCCCGTAAATACCCTGGTCCTATGCCATGGAGCACTTTAAAGGTGGTAATCAACACCTTGAATTGCACCTGGAAGACCACTGGGAGCCAGTGCAGCTCACGCAGGAGGGGTGTTACATGGGCGCATTGAGTTGTGCCCATAACCACCCGCATGGCAACATTCTGGACCAGTTGGAACCTCCGAGTGCTCTTCAAGGGGAGCCCCATGTAGAAAGCATTACAGTAGTCCAGCCGGGAGGTGACAAGGGCATGAGTGACCGTGTGTAGGGCGTCCCGGTCTAGAAAGGGACACAACTGGCAGATCAGGCGAACCTGATAAAAAGCCCCCCTGGCCACAGCCATCATGTGCTCTTCTAAAGACAGCTGTGCATCCAGGAGGACACCCAGATTGCGAGCCCTCTCTGTGGAGGGCAAAGATTCACCCCCAATAGTCAGCGATGGCACCAGCTGACTATACCGGGATGCCGGAAGCCACAGCCATTCGGTCTTGGAAGGGTTTAGTCTGAGCCTGTTTCTCCCCATCCAGACCCGCACGGCCTCCAGGCAGTGGGACATCACATCAAGGGCATCATTGGGGTGGTCTGGGGTGGAGATGTACAACTGAGTGTCATCAGCGTACTGGTGGACTCTCACCCCAAAACCACGGATGATCTCACCCAGCGGCTTCACATAAATGTTGAACAGAAGGGGCGAGAGGACTGACCCCTGCGGCACCCCCAAAGCAAGGCGCCTCAAGGTCGACCTCTGCCCCCCTGCCAACACAAACTGTGAACGATCGGAGAGGAAGGAGGAGAACCACTGTAACACGGTGCCTCCTATTCCTAACCCCCTCAACCGCTGCAGCATGATACCATGGTCGATGGTATCAAAAGCCACTGAGAGATCTAATAGGACCAGGACAGAGGAGCAACCCCTGTCCCGAGCCCTCCAGAGATCATCAACCAACGTGACCATTGCCATTTCCATGCTGTACCCCTGCCTGAAGCCCAACTGGTACAGGTCTAGATAGACAGCTTCCTCCAGGTACTGGGGTAGCTGTCGTGCCACCACACTCTCAACAACCTTCACTACAAAACGAAGGCTGGAGACCGGACGATAGTTTGCTAATACAGCTAGGTCCAGGGATGACTTCTTGAGGAGGGGCCTCACCACCGCTTCTTTCATGGCGGCGGGAAAGGCACCCTCACTCAAAGAAGTATTTATAATCCCCTGGAGCCAGCCTTGTGTAACCTCCCGAGATGCCAGTACCAACCAGGAGGGACACGGGTCCAATAAGCATGTGGCAGCATTAAGCCTTCCCAGAATCCTATCCACATCCTTGGGAGTCACAGGGTCAAACTCTTCCCAGATAACATTCTTAAGACCAATCCCCATCTCCCTCCCCGGACTCACCCAGTCGGAGTCCAAGCCTTCCCGAATCTGAGCGACTTTATCATGCAGGAATTGCACAAAGTCCTCAGCTCAACCCTGCAAGGAATCTTCCCACACTCCCCCCCAAAGAAGGGAGTAGGTCACCCTAAACAGAGCGGCTGGGCGGTTCTCTGCAGATGCAATAAGAGTGGAAAAATAGTTAGATTTTGCCACTTTTATTGCCACTAGGTAGGTCTTGATATAAGACCTCACCTGTGTCCGGTCAGATTCAGATTGACTAGTCCTCCAGACGCTCTCTAGGAGTCTTTTCTTTTTTCTTTTTTTTTTATTGAAAAGTTTTACAAAAAAGAAATACAAAAATTCCCCCCCCCCATGTTCCCCCCACCCTTTCCCCTCTTCATCCCACCCTCCCCCCCGACTTCCCAGAGCAAAATACAAGGTATTTCATTTAATCAAACATAAACTAGATTAATCTACTTATCCTTAAAGTACTACCTCCCCCACTGAAATCTTAACTCCACTACAGATAACCAAATACTTCTAATATTAACATTCATTCATAAGCTATTTGATATTTTCTTGTCTGATACTTATTTTGAATATAATCAATCCATCTTCTCCATTCCGATACGTATCTTTCTTGCGTATGGTCCTTCAAATACGCCGAGATTTTCGCCATTTCTGCTAGGTTTGTTACTTTCAATATCCACTCTTCAATAGTAGGCAAAGAGTCCTTCTTCCAATATTGAGCTACCAGCAGCCTAGCTGCTGATATTTAGTTCAAAATCAATTTAGTCTCTGAAACTGTACAGTCCGTAATTATACCCAATAAAAACAATTGAGGAGTAAATTTCAACCTTCTTTTCAAAATGTTCTGCATCACCCACCAAATTTTTATCCAAAATTCCTTGATTTTCTTACAGGTCCACCATATATGATAATAGGTTGCATCATTACATTCCCATCTCCAACATTTAGCTTACAAGTTCGAGTATATACATGATAATTTTTTAGGATCTAAGTGCCATCTATAAAACATTTTATAAAAATTCTCTCTCAAATTTTGTGCTTGCATAAATTTAACATTTCTGACCCAAATCTTTTCCCACGTTTCCATCATCACTGGTTCCTGAAAGTTTTGTGCCCATTTTATCATACAGTCCTTAACTAGTTCTGTTTCTGAGTCTATTTCCAGTAATGCATTATACAACCTTTTAATATGCATCTGACTTTGATCTCTAATCTGTTTCACCAAATTTTCCTCATTTTGTCTAGGAGTCTTTTCTGACGCTTCATTTCTCTCAGCTCCTGAGAGAACCAAGGAGCCAATTGAGATCGGCATCGGGTCAGAGATCGGCATCGGGTCAGAGGCCGCAAAGGCATGATGCGATCCAAAGCTCCGGTGGCCGCACTATCCCAGGTGGCCACCAGGTCTTCGGTTGAGTCGTGTGCCAGGGTCTCAGGAAATGGCCCAAGCTCCATCAGGAACCTTTCAGGGTCCATCAGGCACCTGGGACGGAACCATCTGGTCGGTTCCATCTCCCTGCGGTGTGGGGAAGCGGCTTGAAAGTCCAAGTGAAGGAGGGAATGATCTGTCCATGACAAGGGTTTGATGTCTAAGTCCCCTCTACCAAGATCATTGAACCACTGACCAGAGATGAAAATCAAGTCCAGAGTGTGTCCCCCTGTGTGAGTGGGGCCTTGAAATAATTGGGTCAGGTCCATGGCTGTCATGGAGGCCATGAACTCCTGAGCCACCTCTGACACCTCACCGGTGGATGGTAGGTTGAAATCCCCCATGACAATAAGTCTGGAGGTATCCACCGTCACCCCGACAATCACCTCGAGTAGCTCAGGCAGGGTCGCCGCCACGTGGCAGGGAGCCAGGTACGTAGTCAGCAAACCCATCTGCACCCCACAACCCCACTTCACAAAAAGGGACTCACATCCGGCTATCTGAGGAACAGTGGCCTCCCTCGGGCAAAGACTTTCCCTAATAATTGCCGCTACTCCCCCACCCCTCCCCTGAGCCCTCAGCTGATGAAATGCATGGAAACCTGGAGGGCTCATTTCAACGAGGGGAACCTCCCCTCCTTGCCCAACCAGGTCTCCGTAATTCCTGCCAGGTCCGCACCCCCCTCCATAATAAGATCACAGATGAGAGGGGCTCATCCTGCTGCTCTTATTTGAAGCTCAGAGCTTCCCTTTTTCCATAAACTGGAATGACTTCTGTATTTTCACACTGGGGATCTGCTGAATTCACCTCCCATTAAAACATCAGTAAAATATTGTCTGTGGGCAAATTTTTTAACTTGTGGAGTTGGTTCCAATAGTAAAAATGGGGATAGCGATAAAAACAGATCCTGTAGAAATAAAAGATACAAACTTTGGAAATGTCACAGAGATTATGAAACACACATCTGGAATATTCGCTTGATCAGAAGTGTTCCAAAACCTGTTGTCCAGCATGGCAGCTCCAAGGTCCAACAAATGACTCATGAGCAGGTGCAATCCACTGTGTTGCTATGTATGGCATTCCAGAATAAGGTTGTTAGATCGGCGCAGGAATGGAAGACGCGACCAGCTCGTTACATTAATAACTTTATTTAGTAACAGTAGCAAGACTGGCTGCGCGCTGCCGGAGCTCTCCTTATATTCGCTCCGGCAGTCGCACCACCCCTGACAGTGATTCAAACTTTCCCGCCCGATGGCTGGCAGCCAATCCGGGCGGATGTCCTTATAAGGACATAACACTCCTCCCCTCTTAGTCCGCAAATCGTCAATGTTCATTTATAAAAGTCACGTAGTCATGCAGGTACGTAGGATGCCTCGGCACCCTAGCTGACCTGCGCAGTCTCACTTCTTCCTCGTCCCCGACCTGGACGGACGGGGCTCCTTTGTCTCCTGGTTCCCTCCCCGGAACCGGGCTCGGTTCGGCTGGCGAGTGTGCGGGGTCACCCTCAGCGCCTCCGGCCGGACCGCAAACCTTGGATTGCTGGTTCTGGTGGTCTTCCTCCTGGCCTGTGGATCTCTCGCCTCGTCGGGGCTGCTCGGTTCCGACCCGGGAAGAGCGTCTGAATCTCGGTAAGGCCCAGGCTGTCACTTGCTCCTCCCCGGTCTCCCGGGCGCTGCGGTTCGGCTGCGGTTCGGCTCGCTGTTGTCTGGGGGGTGGTTCGGATCAGTGCCCTCGGGTCCGGTCTGCCAGCGGTGGATGGTGTTGGCTCAGGTCGTGATGTCCGACCTCGCAGGGGTGGCGCAGGTCTCCTTGGTTGGGCTGATGTTGGCCTACCCCGTCGGGTCGGTGGTGGTCGACCTGGTCGGGATGTCGTTGTGGGGCTACCTCTGCGGGTACCTCATCGGCACCTCTGATGTTGTTGCCTCTCAGGTATTGCCGAAATTTGACCATGTAGGATTTCCACTTGTCCTTCCCTGGGCGGAATGGAGCAAGGGCTGGCAAAGTGACTTCAGCAGATGCCATGCCTTCGGAAATGCCTACTGAAGTTTCAGGTGCCGGAGTCTTGGTCTAGTTGGCTTGGTGCCACGAGGTTCGTCTCTTTCTCTAGTCCTTCGTCGCCAGTGTTAGATCGGCGCAGGAATGGAAGACGCGACCAGCTCGTTACATTAATAACTTTATTTAGTAACAGTAGCAAGACTGGCTGCGCGCTGCCAGAGCTCTCCTTATATTCGCTCCGGCAGTCGCACCGCCCCTGACAGTGATTCAAACTTTCCCGCCTGATGGCTGGCAGCCAATCCGGGCGGATGTCCTTATAAGGACATAACAAAGGTGATAGCGCAAACCCAATATAGAAAGTTTAACACTACTACTGCATATTTTGTGAAAGTTTTAATATACTGCCATTATAATATTTGATTTGTATATCTCTTAGCACTCGCCCCTCAATTACTGTGAGAGCTTTGGGGACTGGATCTGAATCTGTGCCCAGAGGAGAAATGTTTTAAAGGGATGAATGCTGAAAGGCAGTTTAGCGACATGCTGGCAAAGCAGAGCATAGAGCAAACAGGAAAGTCCTGATACTGTGAAATGGATAAGGCTCCTGGGCATTAAGCCAAGGAAGGCGATGCACTACTCAGTCTCTGTGTTGGAGGAAAGCAACTTGTACAGTACTAATGGCACTTGCAGGCAACCTTTTTTTGAAGCAGAAAGGGCAGTTTTGTTTTAGATGTGTATCCCAGAACCCAGTCAAATAGAAGCAAATGCATTTCTTTCCTCTCCCTGCCTGTGAAACAAAGGCTTCAGCAGTACTGTGGTAGAGGCTTTGCAGCCTTCTTTTCCTATGCCAAAACTGAGTAATGAATGAGGTTTGTTCCTGCTGCATCTTGTTATTATTACTTCCCCATCTTTTATGAGGTAGATTTGAATATCTCCCCACCCCAGACAGGATTTGGGATTGTAAATTGCACTGAGTTTGTAAGAATCTCTGCTTTACTATGTCAATGTCTCTTTGATGTCTCAAAAGCCAACTCCAGCATCAAGGAGACAAAAGCAGAGTGATAGGATTCATGTTGGGAATAGCTGTGTCTGGAGGTTTGGATTCAGTTTATGGGGCAGGTGAATGCAGTTACTCTCCTTAGTTATGTTGGTGCCATTTGCAAACAGAGGTATGGCATGTGAAGCAATTTTTCTTCATTCCCCCTTTTTCCTATGAAGTTGCACACATTTCAAATGACTTTCTTCTCTTTATTCAGAAATTTTTCTTTAGCCCTTATTTACATGGCACAGTTCCCTTAATTAATCAGTGTATGTTGTATAAACATATTAATTGTAGCATGGTTTTTGCCAAACTGGTAACATGAAGAAACTGTAATTGCCCCCTTTACATCATCATTGTAAAAAAAAGAAATTGCCCTGAAGAGTGCATGCTTTTATTTCACTTTTCCATCATCCAATATAATCTTGCTAGTTTGCATGAACTTCAGTTATCAGAACTGAAGCATAATATCTAATAAAACTCTGACAAGATACCATGAAATAAAATGGCAACACTTTCTCTTGAAAGTCACTATTTCTGATACTAGAGAAAGTGGGTGAAAGGAAGTGGCATCATTAAAACCCCTAAACCTTTCTTTCACTTCATGCATTTCGCTAGAGTGAGGCTTAAAGGAGGAAGTACTGGAGTGATGAGCAAGTGGTGGAAGAATAAGGGCTACGCATGACTACAGTCAACCAGGCTTAAAACACACATGTGATTTTGTATAACTCCTCCCCCCTTAGTCCGAAATGTCAATCTCATTCACAAACGTTACGTAGTCGCGCAGGTACGCCGGACGCCTCGGCACCCTAGCTGACCTGCGCAGTCTCACTTCTCCTCCGTCTCCGGCCTGGAAGGACGGGGCTCTTTCGTCTCCTGGTTCCCTCTCCGGAACCGGGCTCGGTTCGGCTGTCGAGTGAGCGGGGCCACCCCCAGCGCCTCCGGCCGGACCGCAGACCTTGGATCGCTGGTCCTGGTGGTCTTCCTCCTGTCCTGTGGATCTCTCGCCTCGCCTCGGCTGCTCGGTTCCGACCCGGGAAGAGCGTCTGAGTCTCGGTAAGTCCATTTCTTGCTCTTCCCTGGTCTCCCGGGCGCTGTGGTTCGGTCTCGGTCCGGCTTGCTGCCGCTCGGGTGGCGGTTCCGCTCGGTTCGGGTGGTGCTGGCTCTCGTTGTTGTTGTTGTGCCGTCCGACCTCGCAGGGGTGGCGTTGGTCCCCTCGGTTGGGCTGGCGTCGGTCTACCTCGTCTGGCTGGCGGTGGTCGACCTGGTCGGGGTGTTGTTGCGGTGCTACCTCCGCGGGGCGGCGGAGGTCTCCCCTGCCGGGGTGGTGCAGGTCTCCCTGGCCGGGTTGTTGTCGACTTCCCCTTCCCCCTAGTCCCTGGTCTACCGTTGGTTGGTGCCTGGGGCCATCCTGGCCGGGGTGTCGTTCCTTGGCTGTCTCTTGTGATGGGCGGGGGTCCCCCACGTCGGTGAGTAGTGTGCCACCCTCGCCCGTGGGTCGTGGGTTGCCCGTCTTGGCTGGGTCCCGGTCTACTCGCCTTGAACTGCAGTCTCCCTGGCTGGGCTGGCATGGGCTGCTGTCAGTGGTGGGGTGCGTTGCTCCTCCTCTGGGCAGGTCCCGGTCTACCTGCGGGCTGGGTTGGTGGTCCCTGGCCTTGCTGTGCCCGGTGCCCACCCGGCTGGGTTGTTGTTGCCACCCTCCGTGCGGTTGGCCCCGGTCTACCTCGCTGGGCTGCCGGCGTGACAGCATCTGGTAGTGGGCTGGGCCGACCTTGACGGGGTGGTGCTGCTCTGCCTCGCAGGGGTGTGGTAGGCCTACCTCGTCGGGGTGTCGTAGGCCTGCCTCGCCGGGTTGTTGTAGGCCTACCGGGTCTGGGTGTGGTAGGCCTACCTCGCTGGGGTGTTGGAGGTCTACCTCATCGGGGTGTTGTAGGCCTCCCTCGTCAGGCTGGTTTTCATGCGCTCCCCCCCACCTTTTTCGGAGTTGGTCGATGTGACGTCTCGCGAACTGTCCATCTTCCAACTCGACGATGTATGATTTGGGGCCGGTTGTGCTGGCAATCTTCCCCTTCAGCCACTTAGGAGAGCCGCTGAAGTTCAGCGCGAAAATTGAATCTCCGTTGCTGAAGGCGCGAAGCGGGCGGCTGGCGGTTGCGGTCACTTCCGGGCTGTATTGGGGGTGCAGCCGGTCCAAGGGTGACCTCAACCTTCTGCCCATCAACAGTTCGGCCGGGCTCTTGTGGGTGGTGGCGTGTGGCGTGATGTGCTGGGTGAGGAGGAAATTGTCTATGCGCTCTTGCCAGTCCCCTGGGCCCATCTTGGTGAGGGCCTCTTTGGTCAGTCGGACCATGCGTTCCGCTTGTCCGTTTCCGGCCGGCCTGTAAGGGGCGGACAGGGCGTGGCGGATGCCCAGTCCCGCCAGGAAGGATTCCATGGCCAAGGATGTGAGCTGGGGGCCGTTGTCTGAGACCAGCACATCCGGTAGACCATGAGTGGCGAAGAGACGGCGCAGGGCTCGGATCGTCGCGTCCGTTGTGGTAGATGCCATGGGCACCACCTCGAGCCATTTGGAGAAGGCATCTACCACGATGAGGAGGTGTCGCCCCTGCATCGGACCCGCGAAGTCAATGTGGACCCTCGACCAGGGGTTGCCGGGGGTCTCCCACTTCGCGACCTCGGATTGCGGCGGCGCTGGGCGAACTTCTTGGCACGGGTCACATCTGGAGACCCATTGTTCAATGTCTTTGTCCATGGAGGGCCACCAGACATAACTCCGTGCCAGTGCCTTCATGCGGACGATGCCCGGGTGCCCCTTGTGCAAGGTCTCCAACGTTCGCCGTTGCAGAGTGCTTGGAATCAGCACCCTGTCTCCCCATAGCAGACAGCCCTTCATGGTGGACAGCTCCTCCTGTTTCCTGGCGAACGGGCTGAATCTTTCCTCTGGCTTTCCCGACGGCCACCCTCTGAGGATCCAGGATTTCACTGTGCGGAGTGTGGGGTCCTTTTGGGTGTGGACGGCCACATCTGCGGATGACACCGGGCAGCTGGCGTCGTCATCAATGTGCAGTAGGTGGAGTGTGGGGGCTGGGTCTTCGACCGGCTTCTTCGACGGGCATCTGCTGAGGGCGTCGGCGTTTCCTATGGCTGTGCCTGGCTGGTGCACGAGCCTATAGGAGTAGCCCGCTAGGAAGATTGCCCATCTCGTCATTCTCGGGGACATGAAGGTCGGGGTTGGTTGGTCGCCTGCGAGGAGTCCCAGGAGAGGCTTGTGGTCTGTGACTATGGTGAAGCTTCTTCCGTAGAGGTATTCGTGGAAGCGCTTCACTCCAGCCACGATGGCCAGGGCTTCTTTGTCCAGCTGGCTATAGTTCCGTTCTGCGCCGGACATAGTCTTTGAGAAGTACGCGATTGGGGCTTCCGAGCCATTGGGCAGTTCGTGGCTGAGGACTGCCCCCACCCCGTAAGGCGACGCGTCGCAGGTCAGTCTGATGGGAAGCGTCTCGCTGTACTGAATGAGTACGCTTTTGGACGTCAATAGTCCTTTTATGGCCCGGAATGCCGCTTCCTCTTCCTGGCCCCACTTCCAGGAAGCCGATTTTCCCAGCAGGCGGTGGAGTGGCTCAGCAACTGTGGCTTTCTGTTTTAAAAAAATGGCGTAAAAGTTGAGCAACCCAAGGAAAGCCTGAAGCTCCGTTTGTTTTTTGGGCTTGGAGCTTCATGGATTGCTTCCACTTTTGATTTGGTGGGGTGGATGCCTGTGCTATCAATGAGGAAGCCCAGGAACTCGACTTCCTGTACTCCTATGATGCACTTGTCCCGCCTGACCCTCAAACCCTTGGCCTTGAACCGCTGCAGGACAAGCCTGAGCCTTTCAAGGAGTTGGGTTCTTGAGTCACCGGAGATGAGCACATCATCGAAGTAAGGCACCACCCCTGGAACGCCTTGGAGAAGGCGTTCCATCATGGATTGGAAGATGCCAGGGGCAGCGCTGACTCCAAATTGGAGGCGGTTGCATTTAAATGCCCCTCTGTGCGTGACAATTGTTTGAGCCTCCGCCGTTTTGTCATCCACTGGCAGTTGCTGGTAAGCCTGGGCCAGGTCCAGTTTCGCGAAAATTGATCCAGATCCCAGGGAATGCAGCAGATGTTGCACCACTGGGACTGGGTATGCGCTCTGTGCCAACGCCTTGTTGATGGTACAACGGTAGTCAGCACAGATGCGCACAGACCCATCATGCTTCAGTGGGGTCACAATGGGGGTCTCCCATGAGGCATGATCGATCGGTTCCAGGACGCCCTGGGCGATCAGCTTATCCAGCTGCTCATCTACTTTAGGCCGCAGGGCAAATGGAACTCGGCGGGGCTTGAGCCTGATTGGGGTGATTCCCTTGTCCAGATTAAAGGAGATTGGCCTCCCCACAAATTTCCCCAGCTTACCATCGAAGACTTCTTTGAACTCTTCGATGATGGAGTCGAGTTCGTCCCTGCGGATCTCGTGGATGCCCTGAAGTGAAAGTCCCAGCGGCTTGAACCACTCCACACCCAACAGGTTCGGTCGGCTGTGCTGCACAATGGTGATGGGTAGCTTTCCGTTGAAGTCGTTGTACTTCACCCGGATTGTGGCTCTGCCTAGGATTTCAATGGGGTTCCCGTTGAAGTCCACAAGTCTCGCCTTCGGGGTTTTCAGCTGGGTCCTTTTGTATGCCGGGTTCAGCTGCTGTAGGTGCTGCCAGTCCATGATGGAGTAGGCGGATCCGGAGTCTACCTCCATCTTGCACGGAGACCCCTCTGCTAGCAGCGTCACGTGGAACTTGGTGGTTCCCTCGTCGCTTGTGTGAGCAATGGTGGTGGTCTGGTGCACCGTCCTGTTGCGGGGATATTCCTCCTCCCCGCGCCGGGACTGGTTTGAGGACCGTTTGGATGTCCTCTGGTTATCTTTGCGATTTTCCCTGAATCGTGGTCTGGGTGGTTCCGGGGCGGGATCTGTGGCTCTGCAGGCCTCTGCGATGTGGCCCCTCTTCAGGCATCGGCGGCAGGTCGCGTCCCTCCATCTGCAGTTTGCCCTGGGGTGGTCGCCTCTGCAGCTGCCGCATCGCTCTCCCCGGTCGCCATGCTGTGGGTTTTCCCGCCTGGGAGGGCGGGATACCTTGTGGACGGCCATTTCCTCATCAGACTCGGATTGAGTAGTTGCCTCGTCTGATGAGGTCGGGCCCGACTTGTGGATCTTATGGATCCCCCTTGCTTTTACCATCGCGGCGGCTGCTTGCTCAGACGTTTCGGCCGCCGTTGCCTCGTCGAGGACATCTTTGAGCGGAATCTTCTTCCGGCTGAGGAACTTCTTCTGCAGCCCCACATCTCGCATTCCAAACACAATGCGGTCCCGGATGGCATTGTCCACATTGTCGAACTCGCAGTTGGCAGCGATTTGGCGAAGCGCTGCCACGAATTCCTTGATGGATTCACCTTCCCGCTGGTTTCTTTGCTGGAAGGTGAACCTGTTTGCGATGGGGGTGCCTGTAGGTGCATAGTGCTCCTGTAGGACTTCCTGCAGGTCGTTCCAGGACATCTCCTCGATGTCCCTGGGTGCCACGAGGTCAATCGCCATCTCCAGAACGTCCGATCCGCAATGGGCCAGGAAGAGGGCTCTTTTTCTCTCCTCATCGAGGTTCTGGTATCCATTGCCTCGCAGGAACTGCCGGAATCGGACCATGTATGACCTCCACTTCTCCCGGGATGGGTCGAACGGGTTCAGCGCGGTCATCGGGGCTTGCGGGGTGGCCATTCTGGAAGATCGCTGTGGTGTGGTGATTTTGTTCGGTGGGCGATCGTGCCAAGAGTCTTGTGAAGGTTCTTCTCTCTAGTCCTTCGTCGCCAGGTAAAGCATTTTGTATAAAGGAAGAAACTTACAGGAAGAATGTGGAGTTCAAAGTGATGAGTTCCTTTCCCCAAAGGCAAAGAAAAATGTTTTTCTTTTATTCCTATCCCATTATTTGTTACATGTGCCTTCTTCAGCTATCCATTATCTTATCTCCATCAACATCTTTAGCAGTCTTGGAATGAAGCAGAAGAACAGGGGCCCTGAATCTCCTGCCTAAAGAGTTCCACTTGGTATGACCCCTGCATGTCTAATGATTCTGCTGTGGAGGGAGCAGTTTTATGACATTAAATATTAACAGTGGGATATTAATAATGAAGGCTGACAGCTCCTTTCCAGATGCCTATAGTTGCCTCTCTCTTCCACTCTGCCAATCCTGTAAGACTTGAGTTCTTTTTTCCTGCCCAGGCAGTGTGGTTGGAGGCTTCTGATAATTAAGGTTAGAGGAGGTATGAAAAATGGTGGTGTCATCAGTGGTGAATGAGAAGTGGTGTCATCAGTGTGAATGAGAATTATCCCTGTTTGACTAGTGTGGTCTGCCTCTCTTCCTCTCCCTCTTTATCCTTGTTGCAGACTGGCTGGAAGAAAAGCAATGCATCATTAAAGGCAGAGGAAGTGAGTGATGCAGTAAGATTCATAATCAAAAGTATGGCAACAGAGGCCATCCAGGACTTCCATATTCCCAGTTTGATAATTTTGGTTACGTAAACAGAGTTAAAAATAATGCTGAAATTTATTTTGTGATTTCCCATAAATTTCCCATAGCTTTCTTCCCTTCTGCTCTGATTCTTTGGCCTGCGCTCATCTGTCACTCTTCTGCACTGGTCACAATGCAAACTGATGCACAACTCTGCCTGCAGTTCTATCTGTTTTGCTCCTTGGATAATTTCCTGGGGATAATGCACAAGGCAGATGGACCACTGCTATTTCTGCAGTTGAATGTCATGCTAGAGCTGGCTGGGGAATTCTGGGAGTTGAAGTCCACACATCTTCAAGCTGCCAGATTGAGAAGCATTGGAATAAAGTTTTATTTTAAACTCAAAATTACAAGTCTGATGTGCAGCATACAAAATGCTACTGGAAAAATATGGAGGGAAAATATTTGCATCATTGGAATAAGTGTAAGCATGCTTGAACAGAAACTTTTGCCAGTTTATAAATAGGCCAATTTTATAGTTATTCTACATTATACCAACTCTCACAATCATATTTTCTTTCTCAGTCATCATCCTCATAAAACATGCATAGTGAACCCTGGAGATTTGCTCTTTTTTTCTGTGTTGGAAGAAATGTCCATCTGAGTTCAGTTCCAAGTGGGGAAAAAGACACTGGAAACATGGAGACTGCTTGGAAAAATGGTTTAATGGTGGACAGGAATCACATGGCTTGAGTTCATGAGAAGAATCACATGGCTTGAGTTCCTGAGTAGAAAAAAAGGGGGGGTGAGATGCTGGGAGTGCCTTGGTTTTATGCCCTCTGTTGGGTCCCACGTCAGAGTTTCCTGTTCCTGTATAAAAAATATATCCTGATTGGTTGTGAGACTCCCAGGGGGCAGGGGTCTTAGCTAGCTTTGCTGGCTGATGTAATCTTCCCAAGTGCTATGTGGGGAGTTTCTGTTGCTGGATGGGTCCTTTGCATTGCAGATGATGGTCTATTGAAAAAGGTGGGGGGAAATGAGTGAACTTGGCTGAGGCCTTAATGGCCCATTGACAAAGGTGGGGGGAATGAGTTTTTGCCTCTGACCCATTGAAAAAGGTGGGGGGAGTCAGGAAGCTGCAGGGAGCTGCTTTGTCTTTAAAACACGTTTCTCCATTTCTCATCCAGAGAAATATAATATTCTGCCTTTTTAATATTTCCTAAAATATTTCATTCTTCTAGAAGAGGGGTGAGTGCTAACTTCCTACATCTGTTTAACCTATTTAGCAACAGGACAAATACACAAACTGTTTCAAAATATAAACAACTTTTGGGAAAGACTTTTATGCCTTTATTTATTTAGGTCTCTGGGCATTGTAGGATTGCATAATGAGATGGTGTCACCAAGAAAGGAGACCAGCAGTTACCAATTTTGACAGCATGACCTGTGAATGTGCCAAGGATTACAAAATGGGAGTAAATATCTTTTAGTTGCTGGAATTGGGTATGTCTACTTTAATGAAAAGAAGAACTAAGGGGTGACATGATAGCAGTGTTCCACTATCTAAGGTGCTGCCATAAAGAAGAGGGGCACATCCTGAAGGCAATGGATGGAAATTAATTAAGGGAAGAAGCAACCTAGAACTAAGGAGAAATTTCCTAACAATGAGAACAATTAACCAATGGAACGGCTTACCTCCAGAAGTTGTGAGTGCTCCAACACTGGAGGCTTTTAAGAGATTGAAGAACCATTTGTCTGAAATGGTATAAGGTTTCCTGCCTGAGCAGGGGGTTGGATTAGAAGACCTCCAAGGTCTCTTCCAGCTCTGTTATTCTGTTATTTCTGGATTTGTCAGCTACCCTCTAGGCAAGTACTAATCAGGACTCACCCTGCTTGATTCTAAGTCAAAGCTGATTAGGTGCTGCTTGTCTTGAAATTGGGGAATGTAAACAATGCTTGCAAAAACCATTGGATCTAGTACAATTTATCTTTTAACAATTTGTTAATGATAGCATATGTGCCTCTAACAGATGATGGATTTTAATTTATTGTATTGCATTTTTGCTATGCTCATATTCTCTTCTCAGCCGCTCTATTTCCCATCTGGGAAAGATAAACATTCCTCTCCCTGAATGAAAAAGCAGTTTGTGGTATGAAAGGTGTGATTTTAAATGGACAAATGGCAGGAAGGAAAAGGATTAACTCTCTCTCTCCTCCCCTTTCATAATTTCACTCTTCCCTACTACTGATTTTATTTTCCAGCAGCTGTTTTCACTATTAAAAGAAAACGAAGTACAGAAACAAAAACACTCCACCAAGTTGGGATGACAGACAACATTTCTGCCCACCATAAATTATTTTCCCTGTTAATATATTCTATTGCAGGTAATTGATTTTCATCATAGATTGTTTTGAAGCTTTCTTATTTTTTTGAGATGACTTTTTCTCACTATGGCTCTAATGCTAGGTATTTTAATTAACCTAATTTTTGTCATTTCTTTGCTATCCAAAGAGAAATTTGAAAGAAAAGAGAACTCTTTATCAAAATGTGCATTGCCACAAACAAGCATGACCAGGAAACGCAATGCAGGCTAAATAGGAAAGGAAGAATGAATCGTAGATGCTTCTATACCTTCAATCACTACTTTCACGTCACATGGAAAAGAATTGGAAATATGTTTGCAATGTTTCTTCCTCAATGTGGGAAGAAATATCCATCTGGTTCAGTTCCAAGCTGAGAGAAAGACACTGGAAACATGGAGGCTGATTGGAAATAAAGGTTTATTGATGAAGCAGAATCACATGTTATTCTGGGCAGCTGACAAAATGGAGTTGAGAGTGGGTGGGTTTTTATACCTTCTTTTGGGCTTTGTATTTGAGCTTCCTGTTCCTATGCAAGAACATGTCCTTTAATATTCTATTGGCAGACCTCCGGTTTGATGTCGAGGCGAGACAGTCAGGGAAATAGTGGGCTCTGATGAGCCCTACAAAAAACCCGACTGCCGAACTGCCGCTGATGGGTCTTCAGACTGGAACTGTCCTGCAGGGACGGGGATGGAAGAGAGGTGCCTCAGATGACCAGAGGAATGGGCAAATTCCTCGGATGTCGGAGGGAGCTCTCTGTGAGTCGGCGGTGGGGGGCGGCAGCCATGGCGGCTGCCACGAAGCTGGGACAAACTGGGCAAGTGATGTGCAGGAGGAAAGCGGCAAAGAGTGATGCCTTTTGAAGCCGGATGAGTGACAAACAACCCAGGCTCGAAACAACATTTGGAGTAATGGCTTTTTACTTTGTAAGACCCCTAGCTTTAAATCAGCAACTGCAGAGCTAAGGAGCATAGAAGATTTTAAGATGAAATTTTTAAAAGAAAAGAAAAAGACTCAATTGAAAATTGATATCTGAATAGACTAAATTTGAAAAATAAACATTGAGATTTGGTTCAAAATTGAACAACTTTAAATTTGAATTAGACTTTTAAAGAAAAGAAGATAAAGAAGAATTACTACTTTTAAAACATAGAAGAAGGAGAGAATTGGGCTGAAATGTTATATAATTGAAACAAAATGGTGATTTGCATGACTAAAGGAAATTGTGGATTGTAGAGGGACACCTTCTGGCCTAAAAAGAAACATTGTAACTGACTTCTTGTTTGGGAACATTGTGAATACTTCAGATAACAACCGTGGGATTTTGGAGATGGAGCTGTTTTTTCTTTGTCTGCAGATAATTTGACTTTGTTGAAAAAAAGGGAAAGTATGATGGAACTCTTATAATTGGGCTAATTGGCACAGGAACAAAAGAAGTTAAATGGCGCAGGAACAAAAGAAGAAAATTGATGTGATTTGTTTGAAATAGAAGTAAGAAAAAGAACCAAATTGTTATATGGAGAATTAAATTGTGAACATTGAAACTGAAATGGAATATATGTTACAGACAAGGAAAGGAGGAATAATATACACACAGCTGGAAAAAAGAAGATAGAAACAATGTGATTAAAAATAAAGCAATGTATAGATGGACAGTAATAACAAAAAGGAGGTTTTTATAGATTAATAAAAATGAATATGAATATGAGAAGAATTTGATATAATATGTAAAAAGCTGAAATAAAGAAAAAAGTAAGAATATGAGAGGAATAGAATATATTAACAGAAATTTACTAATTTATATAAGGAAGTGTTTGGAGTAAGAACTAAGCCTCAATGTTAAATTGTTATAAAGATGATAATGATAATGTGATTGAATATTAACAAGTAATGTATTGATGGATGGTAATTTTTTTTTTAAAAAGGGTGATTATGCTGGGATAAGCAGCAAACTAAGGTGATTATGCTGGGATAGACAGCAAAACATAGAGAA